TAACCGTTATTTTGAAGTTAGTATTTATCAGTACCTTTCATATTTGAAAGATATTTTTGTCACATGGTTGTGTATTTGTAATAACATATGAGTATTTATTTCATTTTCTTGCCTATTTGCTCTGGCTAGGACTTTCAATGCTATGTTAAATAGAATTGATGAGAGTGGGCATCCTTGTCTTATTCTTAATCTCTTGGGAAAAGCTTTTATGTTTTTACCATTAAGCATGATGCTAGCTGTGGGTCTGTCATACATGACCTTTACTGTGTTGAGGTACATTCCTTCTGTACCTAATTTGCTGAGATTTTTTTATCATGAGAGGATGCTGAATTTTTTTAAATGCTTTTTCTGCATCTATTGAGATGATCATATGGTTTTTCTCCTTCATTCTGTTGATATCACATTTATTGGTTTGCGTATGTTGAACCATCCTTGCATTCCTGGGATGAATCCCCCTTGATCATGGTGAATGATCCTTTTATTGTGCTCTAGTTTTAGCTAGAGCAATTAGGCAGGAGAAAAGAATAAAGGCATCCAAACTGGAAAAGAAGTTAAACTGTCTCTCAGACAACATGATCTTATATATAGAAAATCCTAAAGATCATCAAAAACACTGTTAGAACTAATACATTTAGTAAAGTTGCAGGATACAAAGTCAGCACACAAAAATAAGTATTATTTCTATGCAATGACAACAAATTTTTCAAAATAATCAAGAAAACAATCCCATTCACAATAGCTACAAAAAAAAGAAAAAGAAAAAGAAATAGAAAAAAACCTTAAGAATAAATCTAACCAACAATGTGTGAGACTTGTACACTGAAAACCATAAAATGTTGATGAAAGACATTGAAGACACAAATAAATGGATCAAAATTCCAATGACATCTTTCACAGAAGTAAAAAAAAAAAGTCCTAAAATTTGTATGGAACCACAAAAGACCTTGAATAGCCAAGGGAATCTTGAGGAAAAAGGACAAACTAATGATATCATGTTACCTGACTTCAAAATATACCACAAAGCTATAGGAATCAAAACAGCATGGTATTGGCATAAAAACAGACACAGAATAATGGAACAGAATAGAGATCTCAGAAATAAATCCATGCATTGGTG